TAGACGTTCATTTCCTCTGGGATTTGCTGGTGAGGGAGGTTGAGGGGGATTATGTGGTGTCGTAATCTCCTCCTGTTGGCCAGTTCTTCTGCTCATAGAGGTACTACTTTCTCTTTGTGGATTGCCTCTGATTGGAGTAGAGTGCATCTCATTCCCCTGAGTTGGTTTTTGTTGGTTGATTTGAGATGCACATGGTATGATCACTTGTGACCGGATTGTGTTCATGTTCATGGCTGGAATAATCCTGATGGGAGGAGTTATGCCACTGGAAGAAGCTAAAGCTATACCTGCTGCTTCACAACAAATGGGTTCTTTGTGTGTTGACGCTCTCTTTCTTGGTGATTTATGTATCATCACAACTTTTCTTTTCTTGGAGCTAGCACCTTGCAGGACACTTGGAGATGTACTGGTTCTCTTGTGAAGTGGTGGCCTGCCTCTCTTCTTTTTGGGTGCTGCAGCTGCAGGGAGGTCAGTTATCTGTAGTTGGGGTAAGTCATGGCTATCTTGTATTGTGGCAGTAGTGTTAGATTCCTGAGCCAAACCATGGGTAGAGTTTGCTTGGTTGTATGCTGTGAGAATAGCTTATGCAGTTTCTGCCATAAGTCCCCTTGTTTCTCCCTCCAGGACTCTTTGGTATCTTGCTTCTTTTTCAATTGGATTTGGGTGATTGCAATATTGGAATGAGACCTCCTGCAGTTGGTCCATTACCTGCTCATAAGTGGGATCCGGTAGTGATTGTGGGAAGTCTACTTGGGCTAGATTCCATTCCAGAGGTGGGTGTCTGCTTCTCTGGGAATCCTGAGGGGTTTCTATGACCACTGGTCTTTCTACAAGTCTTTGTCTCCATTGGAGGTTTGTGGTTTGAGCATTGCTGCCTCTGGCCCGGTTAGATGTTGGTTCGATTATCTCATTGTGTTTGTCAGCCTGGTGGTCATGAGATTTAGCTTGACTAGCATTGTGGGACTCAGTGGGGATCCTTCTCTGGGGGTGGTAGTGTCCAGAACGTGTTTGGTTCTGGGGGAGAGGTTTCCAGGAAGGCTGAATATGGTGCTGAGCAGCTCTTGTCGAGATTCTTTCACCAAAAGCTCTCCCATATCTATCTTTCCTCTCTTGGTAAGCTGTCTGTTGGTGTTGTGGATGGTTAGTAGAGGACAGTTGGGGGCTTTGAGACCTTTGAGAAGTGGCTTTTGTTTCCTCACGGTATTTGGTAGGTGCCTCAGTGCTTCTCTTAGGG